CCGCCCCCCCCCCCCCCCCCCCCCCCAACAAGGTATAGCACAGATTTCACTCATTAGTCTCCTAGTGCGCTTTGCAGATCGACCAATCACCACCAGGACACGGCTTAAAGCACCATCAATCTTTTAGCTCCGACGGCCTAGTACCTAAAGCTCTTCCCGTCTTTCTCTTTATATGGGTCTTGGCTTTGCTCACGATCGTCATTATGTTGATCCGCCTTTATCACGAGTCAAAAAGGTTCACAAAACGTTCCTAACACTGTCCTGTTTTCCCGTCCCGTTTCCTCGGGAGGTTGTCAATTGCAGTTAGGCCCTGGGGGGTGTTCTATTGGGTCGTCGATCGTCCCTTCTGACGGCTGATCGTCGTCAATGACGGCGGGTGGATTGGCATAACGAATCGATAACGTTCTGTTCCTCGTCGTCCTGCCCATCAAGGCTCGCGGACGGTGTCACCGTTAGGTGACTAGTCTAGTTATGTGACCCCCCTTAGATAGCTGGCGTTAGCCACATGAATACATCCATCTTCCCCTAGCCTTTCAGCGCTTACAGTTCGCTCGTTGTTAGACGTCATCCAAGACGGCGCGTAAGCCGAACCGTATAATGTCGTTGCCGTTCTCATCTAGGCATGGTATGGTCGCTGCGGCCTTCGCATTATATTCTACGCGAACTTTGACGACGTCCTTTACCATCTGTAAGAGCCGGCGAGCTTACGGGAGTCTAGATGGGGAATTTAGGCAGATTTCGATCGTGCAGCGTGAGCGATTACAGCCCTTGCGTTTGAATTGCAGAGGCGCAATGTGAGGTATTCGTGTCACTTCACGTCTTGTGATTATTTAGAATGTTGGCGCTATGAGGATGGCTGATCTGCACCGATTCAGAGACAATTACAGCCAACTGCAGCCCATTGGGTTGCACGAGCTATGTGCTTGCAGACCAGCCAAGTTGAGTTCGGTTGAGTTTGCCGACCACCCCCAACTCCAATATTCGATCCATAAGTACCAATCATTGTTTGTTATGCTTGCAATTAAATATCCACATTTTTTGGCATCGATGAACTATTCTTAGCCTCATCGCCAGTCTCAATATTGACTCGGATCATGCACCAACTACCATTTATCCAGGGTCTCCTAATATATAACAAGAGAATTGTTCGGCGCACTCAAGTTCGCTTCGGTTATGGCCGTCTAGGTGAAAGCAATATCCGGATTTCTGTGGAGCGGCGACAATGGAGCACTGTTAAACATGCTCATCAGGCGGAGTATCTCTTCTGGGATTTTCGACATTGGCGGTGATGGTATGCTCGGAACCAACCAACGACTCCTTTCTGGCCGCCTCTTCCTCATTATAATCCTGGCCAGGGTTGATCCTCTCCCAGCGCACAAAACAAAGGATTTGATAGAAACCGGAGGCAAGAAGGGATCCGAGCAAAGGACCGACCCAGTAAATCCAGTGGTATCCGGGAAATGAGCGGTTGATCACATCTGGTCCCAGGGAGCGAGCAGGGTTGAGAGAACCTCCGGTATAGTAATCACCTAGTGTGAAGTGTCAGCACAATACGTTGTGAAGTAATCCGAAAATGATTGTTAGTTACCAATCAGTTCTGCAACAAAGAAAGCCAGACCAATTCCCACTGGAGCTAAATAGGTGGACTTGTGCTTTACCACCGCCAACATGATGATAACAAACACAAGCTGTGCCGTCAAGAACATCTCAATGAAAAGTCCTTGTACAATTGATGCGCCGCCGCCGAGTCGCGTCGCGCAGTTTAGCGGGCCCGGGAACAGGGCACTAACCACGCCCGCCGCAGCAATTCCGGCGACCAGTTGCGCAGGGAATACACACAACCCTCGGAGAGGGGGCATGCCACCAGTGAGGCAGAGAGCAAGTGTAACCTGTTGAAGGTCAGCTACAGATATTCCCATTCCCATTCCTGTGCGATGATGTCCATACCGCCGGGTTGAAGAGGCCACCTGTGACTCGGAAAAACGCCCAGACATTGACCGTCAATGCAAATCCAAAAGAAAGTGCCGAATACATCAAATTAGAAGTATTTGGCGGGGATCCAGGTGGCGGCATTGGGGTATTAGACACCTGTGTGCCCGCAAAAGAAAAGAAGAGAAACAGGAAAGTCCCAACGAACTCGCCCATCAGGCAGAGCAAGTTGTATCGCAGCCTGTCGGGGAGCCGCAACATGGGCAGCTGCCCAGGTCCGCCAGAACTCGTGCTCGGCATCCCCTCGAGCGTCGAGGAATCAGACGAGTGGTGTTTCTTGAACAGCATCGCGAGGGGTGAGGGAGCTGAAATGAAGAGAACTAACTGAAGTCAGAGTCGAAATGCCCCGTCAGAATGACACTACCTTAGCCTCTTCTAATACCCATCATTTTTTGTACTTTACAACCATTGTAAGTCGCAGACGTCACCACTCATTACGGAGGCGCCACAACTGGGCCATTTATGATCGATTAGCGTTTGACTCGACCGCGATTGAGCTTATTCTATGGCGGTTGTCCGTTTTACCAGGGCGGCGGGATAGACTAATGTGTATTCCCCGTACAGAATAGAATAATAAGAGTCAGTATTCTAGGGTTCGGCCAGTGGAGAACCGTTGAACGGGGAATCCCGACTTCCGCAAACAGTTGCGGGGGATCGATTGTCTAGACCTCCCCACATGTCATTATCAACGTGTCTCGGTCTTCTTCGTGTGTTTCTAGAACCATATAGTTGGGCCCATATAGTTGGGCTAGCGTCAAAGATTTGAGATCTAGATCGTCCGAAAGATCTCGCATGAACGCCTTTAGGATTTGACAGCTCGGCAGTTACCATTGCTCAAGCTCAATTCAAACGTATGTTGGATTGCCAGCGGATTAGGCTTCCTGATCTAGTAAATCGCCTCGATTCTGGCGGAGGACTGGACCATATAGGATCTCGGCCCCGATCAATGGAGATGATGACTCTTGGATCCAACTCGCAGCGCCAGAACGGTTGAAACAGCATTGCCTGATGATCCGTGTAGTTCACATGACTTGGTACAGAGTCCCAACGAAGTATCCAGGCATATCTTCTGCCTCCCACGCTCACCTGACAGCTCCAGCCAGGGCTGGCAAATCTGAAGAGTAATCGTGGCACGCCCACCACCACCTGGTGTTGGTGGGCCCATGATTAGGTAATCAAAATAGGGTTCACGTCGCGGTCGAATGGAACGGCAGAAACCGGGCCGTTTGGCGCCGCCGACATTCTCGCGCGTGGGCTGACCGCATATGACGACTCAATAGTACGGGATGGTCTATGTTGAGAAAAAAAAGCCCGTCCCCATCGACATGGATATTTGTCTCTATTTTAGGAAGGTTAGATTTGGGCCTCTTGGACGAACTTTACCCTCCAAGATTTTGTTCTGCCAGATCATGGGAAGCGGTAAGGCGGAAGAGTAGAGTCCGCCTTCAAAGAGATGTCCAATAGGAAATTGCGACTGCCTTTCCAAGCTTACATGACCAGAGAGCTGCCCGTCCACGGGTATTCACCTCTTGGAACTCAATTCTTTGCTGTTCCCTTAAATTGAGGACTTATATGTATCAAGTTATCCCCCCAGTTTTGACGGAACCTCGGGATTTGGATCGACGAGACTAACTGCAGGCTGGTCAATCCCAGTCTATATTAAGATATCTATCTTATTCAAATGTACTCCAGTAGACTTTGGGAGTATAAAACATGCAACACGACTCGACTTTATGTACAAGTTACAAGTTAAAAGTGGTAGGTTGCAAGTTGCAAGTTGCGAAAACAGACCGAGTTAATCCCTTTCTGCCCCTCCGCGGAGCTCTCCGCGGAGATATCTTCGCTTCGGCACTGAAAACACTTACAGATCATGCCAGACACCTTCTGAATTTTCCAAATCCCGTCTCTTACGCTCTAGCGATCCGGTTACGGTGGATATGGGTAGCTGGACAACCAACCAAATGCAAGCGGTTTCTTATTACTCACATTTTCCGACTTCTTATATTTAAGCCCCTACCCCGGTCATTAAATAGTCCAGACATCGAACGTTTTCTTTCCTCAACCACCCTAATAACAACAGATCCATCTACCATGGGTTCCAATCCGGGAATGACCCCAGACCAAATCGCACTCATTAAGGCGACGGTGCCGGTTCTTGTAGAACATGGCAACACCATCACGACTGTCTTCTATCGCAACATGCTTGAAGCCCACCCGGAGCTGAACACCGTGTTCAACACTGCCAACCAGGTCAATGGCCATCAACCTCGTGCGTTGGCTGGTGCACTCTACGCATATGCATCGCATATCGATGACCTCAGCGCACTAGCCTCCGCGGTTGAGTTGATCTGCAACAAGCATGCCTCCTTGTATATCAAGCCTGACGATTACAAGATCGTTGGCAAGTACCTTCTCGAAGCCATGGGCGAGGTGCTGGGCGCGGCATTGACCCCAGAAATCCACGACGCATGGGCCACAGCCTACTGGCAGCTGGCAGATATCATGATCGGCCGCGAAAAGCAGCTCTACGAACATGCCGAGGGTTGGACTGACTGGAGAGAATTCAAGGTTGCGAACAAAGTCAAGGAATCCGAGGAAATCACCTCCTTCTATCTTGCCCCCGTCGATGAAAAGCCACTGCCGGCCTTCCAGCCCGGCCAGTACATTTCCATCCAAACCTACGTCCCAGCTCTCAAGTACCCGCAGGCCAGACAGTACTCTCTCAGCGACCAGCCGAAGCCGGACTACTATCGCATCAGTGTGAAGAGAGAACTGGGCCTCAACCCTGCCGCTCCAGGTGCTGCCGCCCATCCAGGTTACATCTCGAATGTGTTACACGATACATTCAAAATTGGCGACAAGCTCAAGGTGTCCCACCCCTACGGCGACTTTTTCCTCGCCCCTGCCGACTCAGAAACCGGTAATCCGATCGTGTTGATCTCTGCTGGCGTGGGCCTAACACCACTGACGTCGATGCTCAACACATTGATTTCCAAATCGCCCGCAACGCGCAAAGTGCATTTCATCCATGGCGCACGTTCATCGGGCGCGCGTGCTTTCAAAAAGCACATCTCGGAGCTTCCAAATCAATTCCCCTCCATTCAGACAACATTCTTTACGAGTCACCTCTCCGAGGGAGAGGCAGAAGGCGTGGACTACGACCATGTCGGACGGGTGGACTTGACCAAGTTGAAGGATCAGGACTTGTTCCTTGATGATGCCAAGACTGATTACTATATTTGTGGACCCGGAAAGTTCATGACCGATATGGAGTCGGCTCTCGAGGCCAAGGGTGTGAGTGCCGACCGCGTCAAGATGGAATTGTTCGGAACCGGAGGTATTCCCCATTGAGCACGGAATACGATTAGACCAATTTTGTTTCTTAGTTCACAAGGTTGTCAGGCATCGGTTTGGCGTTTAGAACCACATATCTCATCTCTTGAAATTTCAAATTACGATTGACGAATGCAAGAAGTCAAGCTGCCCAAGGCGGGATTACCCATCTGCTGAAGCAAATGAATTTTAACTACCTAAAGGGGATAACTACGTCCTGTTAGGTAGGATGTACTCCGTACTTGGATTTCCACACAGCAGACAAACTTAGCGCGAGCCTGGAGGGGGTAGTGTATTAGCAATCCTCTTTATTAAAAAGGTAATAGATCGACATCCATGGATCCATAAAGAAACCAAGTACAGAGTCATTATTGGATTCGGTCATTGTTGCCATAGACCGAGCACTGATGTCCATTTATAAGCATGGGATCATGCCCAGGTGAAATGTTGGACATGAAGGTTTTCTCTTGAAAACCCTCCCAGTCAAGTGTATCATCGAAGACCTTCCGAACTACAGCCTACCAACTGAGGTGCCTTTTCTATCATCCATCCCCTATATTATCAAAATGGGCGTCAAAATCGCCGTCTTCCCCGCCTCTGGAGCCCTTGGATCAAGCATTGTGAACAATCTGGCGAAACTAGTCTCAAAATCTGACCTGGTTCTGATTGCCCGATACCCCGAGAAACTGCACGACCTCCAGCAAGCTGGCGCCACGGTACGCAGGGCCGACTATGATGAGCCATCGACATTAGACACAGCCTTCGAAGGTGTCGATGTCTTAATGCTGATTTCATATGCGTCATTCGAGATAGATCATAGAATCAAGGTAAGGAAATTCAAGTGATATTACCCACCTAAGTAGTTTGTTTAACAACGATACCCAGGCACACCGTCTTGCTATAAATGCGGCCGTCAAAACCGGCGTCAAGCACATATTCTACTCTTCTCTTGGATTCGGCGGTGATTTAACTGACCAGAGCATCGCGCATGTGATGGGCGCCCACATCGAAACAGAGAAATACCTCTCTTCGCTGGAAGGCACGGTGTCCTACACCATAGTCCGCGAGGGTCTCTACACTGAATCCTTTCCGATCTACACTGCGTTCTTCGATCCCCAGAATCCAGCGGACGAGGTTACGATCCCTCATCCGGGTACAGGCCCAGGGGTGGCGTGGGTCAAGCGCGACGAGCTGGGCGAGGCAACCGCCAAGTTGATTGTCTCGTATACCAATGACCCGAGCAGCTTCGAGTATTTGAACAAGGCTGTTCTGCTCTCTGGGTCTCGGGAGATCTCTCTTGCGGAGACGGTTAAGATTATCGGTCAGGCGATTGGGAAGCCGCTCAAGATCCGTGAGATCTCTGTCGATGACTATGTGAATCTTCCTCAGATTGGTGATAATCATACGTACAAAGGAGTTAATCTGTCGAGGGAGTGGGCTACGGCTTGGGAGGCTATCGGGCGGGGCGAGACTGCAGTTGTGTCTCCTGCTCTACGTGAGATCTTGGGGCATGAACCGGAGAGCTATGAAACTACTATCAAGGCGTTGATTGGATGAGCTTTTCCAGGTTGCTGATTTAAACGTGTGTATATCAAGGAACTAAATGTATTGTTTTTATCGAAGATGAAACTGAAATACGGGAACGTTTAGCTGCTTTAATATCACTATCGGTCATTTCTATATACGATATGTACTGTTCAATGAAATATCCCAGTAGCAAAGGAATTCCACCCAGATGAAAAGCCTCACCAAAAGCACAAAGCGACTCTCATCGACCCAGCGTCAACACCAAGTAGATATTTAGGGGGAGTAGTCCTTCAACTCCTTAACATAGAGTTTCTCACTGCGGTACTCAGCGTTGTGAGCAGCGTACCAAAAGATCTCCTTGACCTTGTTCTCCCCGTAGCCATCAATGGCGAACCAAGCCTTGCCGCCATGGGTGAACAGACCCTCGTCGTTGACGCCGAAGCCAGTGACGTTGCCGCCCTCGGGGACAGCGCCGGAGTGAGGGAGCGTCAGACCGACGGGCGAGACAGAGTTCTCGACAATGTAGAGGTTCTGGAAAGCGGTAGGAACAGCTTTCTTGGCAGTGTATGAGACGAGGCCGTTGGGGCTGCCGCCACGGACTAGAAAAGTATACATGTTAGGGGGTCGGATCGAGATCATGAAAGGCTGAATGCTTACGGATCAGGATGTCATGGGTCGTGGTGTTGGCACCAATGTAGGCGTTCTGGCCATCGGTCAGGACGGTATTGCCGCCTTCAGCAACGAGAGTGAAGGCGTTGGGAAGGTTGGCGGCGCTAATAGCGCCGACGAAGGCAGTGATGGTAGCGAGGGAGAACTTCATTTTGAGTGTGAATTGGATTTATAGAATAGATTGGTGATAGACTGTACGAGGAGAACTGGGGACATTTATATAGTATCTAAGAGCCATAGAAATTGATGTAGTTTACCTACCTCGACTTGCTGTCATAAAATTGTGCCTAAGACTATTTTTACATAGTGTGACTACTCTAAAATACCCTACCAGTTTTATTGGACGATCATTTCGCGATATTGAAACATGTCTTGCAACCCCTCAGGCCAAAATGGTTTACTCCACATGTCGACAGACATTAGCAGTTTAGTCTCGTATCTACAAGATCCTACATATCTGTCAAAGAGAGGTGTCTACGAATTGAGAGAGTTCAAAATGCATGGTTTGTTGAGAGATTGAATTATTGATGAACTGACTTGCTAGAGTACGGAGTTCGAGATTTCACAATATCATAATATTGATCGACAGTGCCTACCCACCTAATCCTGAGACATTGAATGTCACCCAAAGCTCCAACCGGTTCTGCGTCGCCGGTTAAAATCCGGGTACATAGATGTAGTTTCTTTCCGGAAGGTCAACAAAAAGCCCCTGTCGATCTTCAGGAGCGGATGGAGAGAGTTCCGGACGTTCCCTTTTTCGTTCCCTATCCTATGTACTCCGTACGGAGTAATCCCGAGTTCCCAATGTAGACCGACTCTATTTTTGATTTCGGTTGTTGCCGATCAGATCCGACTCAAACTCAGAAGTCGTAGAGCATTAGCCCAAAGGTCGCTGTTTGCTCGGGGAAACTTATTGACCGCTGATCCAAAAGAAGGCTGAAATGAGTACGGAGTACCCTAGCATTGGTTGAAATAGCCCCAAGTAATTTCCTTTCACGTGACGGGTTTCGAGCCTTCTTTCCAATTCAGCTTCTCTTTAAAACTTCCACACCTGTTATTGCTCCAAAGGCCAAGATGCAAGTCTTGGTACTTCGTATCTCTCATCATGGTGGTCTACCGTACGCTATATTCTTTGTCAAAAATGGCAAATATTCCGTCTATCTTTCGTGAAAAGTCCATTGCTCGACGTTTAAAGAACTACTGCGACCCCACCCCAAGGGAGCATCCTCCGGTGGACAACCCGTCAGGCTACGCTGATATTACTCTGACAGTTCAGTACCAAACGGATCTTGACATTATAGGAGTTGGAGCAGCAGGCCAAGTCTACAATGTCGATGATTATACCGTTCTGAAGGCCTGCCGGATATATGAGCCTCCATCAAGCGACGCCACTCCACGAGCCTTGTGGGATTATGCCTCAGAAACTATTTTCCACTTTGGGCTCCTAAAAGATGAGAAGACCGTGTTTCGCCTCCTTACAGAGCATCCTCATCCAAACATCATAGAGGCCATTGATAGGGACCATCCGGAAGGTATCTACCTTTGCAAATACCGTCCATTTTCCGACACGACACCAGCAACCCAGTCAGACCGTGTCCTTTGGTATCGGGACATCAGGCGAGCGCTTCTTCACCTCCATGGTCTTGGCATCGCCCATTCGGATATATGCAAGCATAACATACTTTCTGATACCAACGGCCACGCTTTACTTGGAGATTTCGGTGCCTGCTGTCCATTTGGAAAGCCCAATCCTTCTCCACCGTTCCTACTTAATGGGCCGTCGGAGACGGTCTCTGACGGGACAGATAGGTTTGCTATGGGTTGCCCGGTTTACGAATTGGAGATCGGAGTCCCAGCGGAAATATCCGTGGATGATCACAAACGCCTTGTTTTACCCGGATCCATACTGGCCACAGTGGTCTTGATTGTCTGATGGAAAACGCTTGGCGCGGACAGTACAACTCGACAGCAGATATGCTAGAGCATGCCGAAAGTCTTAATGGGCCCAAGACAATCGTGGTGCAGTTGAACATCCTGTCTCAAACGCGGAATTAGTAGAGCGGATTATGCGGTGGAGAAAGAAATGACAGTAGCAACATGGTAGCTTAGCTTCCACGACTTCAGTTAATCATATTGGCTAACTACTTAGGTTGCATCCTCCGTTCTTTACTAACTGAGCATCAACTACAAATTATAGCAGAGCGTTACGACTGGAATTTTGGTGAAGAGCGGCGTTTTCGTGATTATCAATTTACTTTCCCTGGGTGAGTGTCTCTTGGTTGTTGCTTCCAAGGTTGTTGTCGATCAGATCTGACTTAAACTCAAAAGTGGTGGAGTATTAGCCCAAAGGTCGCTATTTGCTCGGGGAAACTTATTGACCTAAAAATGGCTGATCCAAAAGTAGGCCGAAACGAGTACGGGGTAGGTTGAAATAGCATTTCCTTTTCTTGAAATGCTTATTTGGAACCGATGACACTTATGTCCGGCTGGACCCCACGAGCCTTTTTCTTAATTCAAACTCTAATAAAATACCCGGAGGCATTATACACCATACAATTCCACCTGCTAAGAAACACTTGAGAAATATCCGCGATCTGAAATCGAACAGTCTACCACAATGAAGCCTCCATTATTCGCAAGTCGGTGTGGCTATATTATGCCTAAGGCACCCGATGTACATATGAAGCCAGGCCACGTGACCACTATCTAAAATCAAGTTAAACAGTGCACATCCATCACATAGCTCTAGCCAGTGAAAATACTAATTGTAGCAGAGGGGTTAATGGGGATTTATATTTGCGAAAGTCAATATACGTAGCCCTGTTTGGGAAGCTGACCTGGCACCTGACCAGGTATCCCTTAGGTTTTCCATATTGCTTCACTTAGTTACGCTCTGCAACCAGGAAAACTATTATAAAAATATCGGAGTACGGAGCACCCCTATTGCTGAGGCGCATCTTTATCTTAACCTAAGTATGCGAAGTTTTACACCGAGACACAGCTACAAAAATTGCATCTACTGCAAATTTACCCGAGCATGACCTCAGTCTGTATCCCAGACGCGCTCCCATTCACCCTATTGTGTGCCATAATAGGATCGACATCCTCGGTTGATCCGAATGTCTGCCTGCCTACTTCACGCCAATGGCTTCGTCTCGGTCGGGTGATCAGTTTTCACATTCGATTCGTCCCATGTAACTACTAGTACTGATAAAGTGTTCGAGCTTGATGTGTTAGGGCTTGTTAAAGGCATACACTTCGGCAGCAGCGAGGTTTTGTGGACCACCGGCCGTTCATATTGTTATTCTGGGGCCCGTAATCATAATCGCATTAGCGTTGTGATCAACTACAGGGGTTTGATCAAATATGCGCGCATCGAGCCGCAAATCGTCAAGACAAATTGCTTTTCTCTGAAATGATCGTAGATCTTGTTCCCGCTGTATATGGATCCTAGTGCCACACCTCAATCATTCCATCATGTGCATGTAGAGCATACTAATCATCTCCTTAATCTCGGGCCATCCCACGGCTTGGTCAAACTGTACATCTTTTAATGGGTTTGATGATTTACAAAAGATAGTGGAAACAAGAACACATTGTATTCCGTACGCTGACAGGTATTGTGAATCACAATTTAAAAAGTGGATCATGCCTTTCGATTGGTACCTATCCACAAGTGGACGACTTGCTCAACCGTATGATGTATATCTGATTTGGGAGTTACACCCGAGCGTAAGTTGTGCATCATTCAGCGGGAGCAACTTTTATTTCTCGGACGCAATTTAACTTGCTAGGAATGTACACGAAGAGACAAGGGCTATGTTTTCTTCCAATAAACGCAACCAAAACAAGAAATGAATATTGTAAAACAGTCATGGTTATCGGAATGACGGACCATCAGGCAACAGTGCCCTGGCAAACTAAGCTATGAACAAGTTTCATCAGAACCGCATAAACCAACTGGGTGTACTCAGCAGTTGGAAATAAGCGAGAACCATGTATTGTTACTGTTGTTGATTGTCCGTTTTCAGGCTCCAGAAGTCATAGTTCAAAGATATGGTGCCATATATAAATTATCCAGGCGTGGAAGATTTGCCTTCGGTTGCCTATGACTGTGAAGTGACTGATACGCAGACGGCAAAGGTTTTATCCTCTAGTACTGTTCGGATCCAGACAGCGCTATTTTGGTCAGGAGCCATCTTAGCTACTGATGAAGATCCAGCTGCCGGGATCGAGATCTAGGGACGATAATCGGGATTGGAATCGAGTCAAGATCCGTGTATTTTGTGCAGATGACAGGTCTAGCGCCCGTTATTGCTCCACTGGGTTAAGGCGTGCCGGGTGGACTGACCCTCTTCCTCATCTTGGAATCTTGGAACAAGCTGTAACACAGGGGTAACGGGTCACCTGCAGGGTGCTGAGTTAGCCTCCGTCGAGATGACTCGGTACAGGCATGAAACGCAAGACTTTTTAAGGTTGTGACAGATCTGAAATGTCAAGGGAGTTAGCCACAAAATGTAACGATGCATATCATTGTCTGCAATCGTCAAGAACCGTATCGGCAAAATCCCCTCCTTGAATCTCGAAAGAAGAAAAAGTACGATCGGATCGCCCCCAGCGTCGGGTAGTATCAGGAGACGAACCCTCATGCCATAAATGCGGAACTGTTGACCGGAGTCCAAACTGGAGAAACGGATTCCGTCTGCAATTCGTGTGAAATCTCGGTTTGTCACAGGAGCGATCTTCTCGTGTGGACTCGGTGGACATCGGGTCGAGGGTAGGGCGAGGCAAAGGAAGGAGAGCATCCGAGTCACCCCACTGATCCAAATTGCAAGTGGAGTCGTTGTGGGAAGAATTTTGAATAAGCGGGATTTACCTGTTTCGCTACTGGACGACACGGAGGCCAGTCGAGGCAGCACTACATAACGCACTAAAATCGACAGAATACTCCACGTCTAATTCTCACACAACTTTCTTTATTACCCAATCCAAGGTAGTTTGTTCAATTACGAGTCTGACATATTTGTTTTGTATATGTTTCTTGTATATGCTCTCAGTGGAAAAGCTGTTAAAATAATAGGTAGCGCTGATTTTTAGTGAGACTGACAAAAGTACTAGACTGATACACCTCGTGGACTTTGCCACAAGCGGTAGGGCAGAATCTGACAGCATTACCTAGAGTATGCGTGACCTTCCCAGAGAAAATTATGAGAGTATTCAGCCGGTATATTGCGTTCTTTAGTGTACATCTATTACAGTCGCGTGTTCAATAGGGTGATTTTAACCAGTTTTGGCGTGTCAATGTTCATCATCATTATTATCATATCAATCATATCTCGACATTTCCTTAGCTCTTATAGAACTTTCTGCAGCCGGCTAATGACGTATGATTTAGTCGCATATGTGAAGAGATCCATCTTTTAGGAAATGGATTGCCTGACAGGGTGGGCGACAGGTGATCGCCAAAGTATACGTGGCGATGCAAGAAATCGCCGGGATACTCTTTCAAGAAACAGGGTATGACTTTTACCGGGTAAGGGTAAATAATGTAAAGATGCAAAGCCGAGGATACTCCTGTGTACATGAATTCGGTCCATACAATTAACGTGTTTGTTCCTATCTCGAGTCTGGGGCCTTTCCTAGTTGATATTGTACCTAGGTAGTTAGACGTTGCCGCTTTTACAAAGACAGTCAGAGGTCAATTCGGGCCTGTATATACCAAAGTACAGTTATATTACAGTTATATTTGGCTATTTTCGTTCCTCTACACTACTATGGGGGAACCTCATTCGGTCCTGGTGAAGATATGGATGAATCGCAAGATGAACGAACAAAGACTCCTAAGGATTATCTATGACAAAGTAATGATTTCCATGAAAGCATGGAACTACCCGTCAATTTCCGCTAGTCATAGGTACCAAGCTAAAATCGCGTATGAAGGATAGGTGAGCTATATAAATTGACAAGCATAATGTATGTAGCACTGAGCATTGGCTTCACCCATACACCTATTAGTACATAGCCAAGTCTCAATTCTACAGCCTGTTTATTGTGCAATCAAAGAAAGAAAAGATACAAAGAGACAAAAAGAAAACCCATCAAAACAAGACAAGGTACAAATGTACACCCATAAATTACATAAATTACATAACCTTGGAAATTACATAAATATCGGCTCCGAGACTCGGCCGTCGGAGTCTTGGGCAAGGCCCAACCCACTTCCCGCAACATCCACTTTAACTTCAACGGTTTCACTGGACGTGACAGCGGAAAATGTACTCGTCGGAGCCGGCCGTTAGAGATCTTAGGGGTGAACTCGGCTTGATTTTACCGAATAGTACAAGCGAGTGACCAGAAGGGCTAGGCCAATTTGAGGTCTGTCCAAGCCCTGACATCACAGGTCAATATCGGCTTCGTACACTGGTGTAATCGTCTGTTCCGGATCACCTTCGTACCCCTGTTTTTTTTCGGGGCACATTCTGGGTTTATATAAATGCCCCGCGGCCGAAACCCATATCCTGTTCCATGATATATTCAATTCTGGTTTATTTATAAATTCTCGATCCTTCGCCACCCTTTCATTATAGTACTTCTCCCAACTACTATATATCCCAATCCTACTGCCTTCGAGGCCAACGTATGATCCAAGATGTGCATCATGGCTTGCAACCGATCCAATGAGATCCCCAATCTCTCCATAGACCAGGGGACCTACCTCAGCCAACACCTAAGTCCGCAGTCTCGACCCGCCGACTTCTTCGACAGGCCTGACCCTCTCGCTGCCAACTGGAGCTATGACAATGCCATTGACCTGTTCTCCATCAACCCCACCGATATGGAGCCCGTGTCATTCGACTTCGCTGACAGTCTAACGAATCTCGAGTCCAAGGATCTCTTCAATGACCCATTTTCTGGCTCTGGAATTAGTGGGTT